ATTGATGACGAGGACACCATGGGTCAGCCATGGACTCGCTTTCTGTGTCAGAGATGAGGCTATGTTGTCACGCGCCAAGAACAGCAGATCGACCAGAAGCCGAGGCCGATTTTGAACGCGAGTATGCAAAGATGATGGCTGAGAGTCTTGAGTCGCGCAAATTTGAGAGAAAGCCGCTTTTCGATGTTCCACTCCCGGTTCGTGGCAAGACGAAGGAGGCTTCATCTGGAGCCGAGCCTATAGAGCCAGCCACCTCTGGACCAGGACCTACGATGGCATTCTCACTCCTCACGAAGAAGGGCAACCGCCAACAGGTCGGTCTCGCATTCGCCTCCGCGTCGACGTTTTCTTCTGTTTACTGACTATATTTCCAGACACGTACTGTTGAAGTGCCGTCCGACTCTAACTTCGCCGTGGCGATGAAGAACCAACAGCAAGTCGAGAGGGAGGAGCAACAACGCATCAAAAACCTGGTGCTCAACTACGATCTCCGCGAAAATGAAGAACAAGATGGTGAACTCAAACCATACTCCGCCATAAAACCTACTTATTCACAATCAACTAGGAACCGACAAGCCCAGCAGCCATCACCACAACCGCGTGGAACGAGGCAAAGAGCGGATCGGCCAACGATCGCGCAAACTCCAGCTAAGTGATGTAGACTGGTACGACTCCTCCAGAAAGCGTAGCCAGCACTTCGCCAGAGCGCCCAAATATACTCCCTTTTGTCGTGGCCGCGCCACTATCGACGACAAGGCCCAGCAAGTCGCTGCTTCCTTGGTCGACGATATGTCTCGCAAGCGTAGCTCGTCGAATGGACGATTTGCGCCGCGCCATAACGCCGCCTGCATGCGTCAACGTCGATGTCAACCCTAGGAAGAACTTAAGATTTGCTAACCAAAAGGGGCACTGCCCGCCTTCACAATAGGACTTGACACGCACGAGATCAAATCCGGTCCTCATCACTCACATAGACAGTAGTCGAACACAACAGCACTACGGCTGCGGTTTCTTCGGGTTGCCGACAAAAGGCTTGCGCCTGGAGGTGGCACCAGCAGTTCGGAAACTCCTAGCATGACCACAGAGCTGGAAGGTCAACTACTAACGTTGTCACGCATTGACAAACAACAGCGTATGCCGCACCAACTTCTAGGCAAGATACTACTCCGTCGCCATGCGCCACGTCGTATTGTGTCGGACTATCAACAGTGGCGCGCACCACAAACAAGCAACGGCAGCGGCTACAGTCACGAAGCCCCACGCACGCGGTGCTGTGGTTCAAGGTCTCGCAAAATGACGGCAGCTGCAATGTGACGCGCCCTTCATCATCCTGGTTTTACTGACGAGGTCGGACGCATGTCCAGAACAGGAGCCGATGTACCAGTCTGGATTGGAAGCACATAGCTAGAGAGCAAGATTGTTGAGCCTCGGGTCAGCATTCCATTTACATGCGTTAGTTCTGGCAACAGCGAACAAAGATCTCTGCGGTCGTTAGAGAACTGTGTCGGCGGAACAGTTTGATGTGACCTTGTTGTGATGGTCTGCTTTTTCCCTAGACCACCCGAGTTTGCTGGTTCTGTGAAAGGTCGGGGTCGCTTGAATGGACACGGGGTTGGCCTGACTTGTTTGGCAAGAGCTACACCCAAGAGCCTGCCCGTGGCCAAGCTCGCCGGGGCTGCAGGCAGGCTCCAATGGCCAAACGTGACTCGGTGGCCATTGCTATGTCGAAGTAGTTATTCACGCCCACGGATGTATATGAACGACAAGATCTATTGTCGAAATGAGGCAACAAGTGGGCAGGCCCCTTCTTCCCCGGCAGTCAAATCAACCCGATCCGCCACTTGATCGCGACCACGCCCTGGATTTGCAATGTAGAATGGTCAGGCACAACCACAAACCACATGACTGCTCAGCCAGTGGGCCCACTGAGACAGAAGGCGCGATGAAGGGGCACGCTATGCTACAAGATGTTGGATGGGCCAACCTTACTCACGGCCCGTATTGCGCCGCTCAGTGTTGACGACGAAGACGTCTCCACACAGATTTCATAAGGTCAGGCAAGGATGGCCTCCGGCCTCCGAGATGGGTCTAGCATTGTCAGCATATTCTCGTTGTCTCGTTGACATGTCTGCCTTCGTTCGCCACGGCCTTGAGCAACTGATCGTCATCTCTGTCACACCGTGGCTACGGCGGGACGATGACAGAAGGATCCATCTCTTTCTGAACTCGTCTCATTGCATTTGCGATATTCTATGCCTGAAGATGGTCACAGGACGTGGAGCTGCCGCATCTTGCTGTTCCTACCTCGGTCAACAGGCTGGCAATTCACCAAAGGATTCCACACCCTGGGAGTCAGACGCAGGTGAATACGGTTGCACAAAGATTTTATTCTCGAGTCCCGATCAGGCCGAGTGAACCAACCACGAGGTTACATTTATAAAGATAGCACAACACCAGCATCGGTGCTGCAGTTACCCGACCGGATTACAGGGGCAACTGCGATTACCCGTCGCTTCTCACCGCGACTTTTCGGCCATCGGAGCGACTCTGCCCTCAGCCTTGCCTGTGAGAGCGTCACCAATATTTTTTCTCTCTCTTCTTCTCCAGTTCGGTATATCTAGCGGCTCCTGCATCAATACCTATTTGTGCTGGGTCTAAGCGCATCATGTCTGACGATGATATGGACGATTGGCCAGTGCAAGACGTAAGATCCAAGCTATACCTTCAGGATCTTCGCCAGACCGCTAACGCACCCAGATAATATATACCTCCATTGTGGGGGTTGTGATGCTTGCTGCTGCGCTGGAGTGGTTTCTTTGGATCGCTGCATTTCTCTATTGCCTCTGGAAGGTCTTCGTCAAAGCAGAACACTGGACCATCAGAGTGCTTTCCGTCGTCGTTGCCGTACTTTTCACAGCGCTGAGGTATGACAGTCACATCTTCAATGCACCCAGGTGCCCAACACAACTGCTCATCGAGAATAAGGTCCATCTTCCTTCCCATTATGGTTGTCACCCTGCCGCTTCCCGCTGCTGTCGTCGGAGTTTGGCCAGCTGGCATGGTCGAGATTCTACAATGGTTCGGATTTTGGTGTTTTGCTGGTCTTCTAACAGTTCCCTGGCTCTTTTGCATCTACCAGCTGGTCACCAATCAACTCGGCCGCACCAAGAGAATCAAGCAGGTCCTCGATGAAGTGTCTGCACCTAAAGTTGTCATTGTCATGCCATGCTACAAGGAGGAACCGGATATACTCGTCAAGGCTGTCAATTCTGTTGTTGACTGCGACTATCCACCGTCATGTATCCATGTCTTCTTGTCGTTCGATGGCGACCAGGAGGATGAACTCTACCTAAGGACCATTGAGAGTCTGGGCATTTCCTTGACCCTCGAGTCCTACCCCAAGAGTATCGATGTCATTTACAAACTGGCCCGTATAACAGTCTCCAGATTTTCGCATGGCGGTAAGAGACACTGTCAGAAGGCCACGTTCGAGCTCATCGATAAAGTCTATCGGCACTACATCCAGCGCAACGACAACTTGTTCATTCTTTTCATCGACTCGGATTGCATTTTGGATCGACATTGTCTGCAGAATTTCGTCTATGACATGGAGCTGAGCCCAGGTAACCGACGAGACATGCTGGCCATGACTGGAGTCATCACATCCACCACCAGGAAGCACAGCCTCATAACAATTCTTCAAGACATAGAGTACGTCCACGGACAGCTCTTTGAGCGCACTGTCGAGTCAGGATGTGGCTCTGTCACTTGCCTGCCCGGTGCTCTGACAATGCTCCGGTTCTCTGCATTCCGTAGGATGGCGAAATACTATTTCGCAGACAAGGCCGAGCAGTGCGACGACCTCTTCGACTTCGCCAAATGCCACCTGGGAGAAGATCGTTGGCTGACGCATTTGTTCATGATCGGAGCGAAGAAGCGGTATCAGATCCAAATGTGCACATCCGCCTTCTGCAAAACAGAGGCCGCGCAAACGACCAAGTCCCTCATCAAACAACGTCGAAGATGGTTTCTAGGTTTCATCACCAATGAAGCGTGCATGCTCACGGACTGGCGGCTTTGGAAACGATATCCGGTCCTAATCTTCGTTCGCTTCATGCAGAATACAATCCGCACAACGGCTCTATTGTTCTTTATCATGGTCCTCGCCATCATCACAACGTCGAAAAAGGTTGATCAGCTGCCTGTCGGGTTCATCGCCGTTTCCCTGGGGCTGAACTGGCTTCTGATGATATATTTTGGAGCCAAGCTCAAGCGGTTCAAGGTTTGGCTGTACCAACGTCGGACACAAAAGCCAGCAATTCCAATACTCGATTTACCCTCCCCCGTTCTTGTACGGTATCTTCACGGCCGGGCAAAAAGCGCTGCAGCAGGTACTTCTGTTTGACCCTTGCATAGAGGCACACAACAGGCTCCATAGTGGGCATTCTAGCGAGTTAATGTTCAAGGGAAACCAAGGCGGTGGCCTCGGCAGAAAGACCAGCGTGGTACGGCCGCCGGATGAGATCGACGGCCGCTTCGCAGCACGGAATCAGCTGCACGGAGGCTTCTTCACGCACGGCGACGAGTCTCTCGTCAGCATCGCAGCCGGCGGGAGTGGAGAGGCGTCGGAGCCTGGCACCCGCTTGGCGCCTGATCCTCGTGAAAGCTTCGACAGCACTCTCCATAGTCAGACTTACGGCAACTATGGGGCTCCTCCGCGTCGATTGGAAAGCGTCATGGACGAGGAGGACCGGAAGAAGTTCGAACTCGCACAGCAGAGCCAGTCGTACATCATTTTACGGCCAGCTCCAATCGTGTAGAGGGCTTACCCTCGTGGGACCGTGCCCAGAAAAGCGCAGGCCCTGTGTAGTTTGGCGACAGGGAACCTGATGACACGCTGGGAATTCGAAGAAGTAGATGTGGGAGCGGCGCAGCGGACGACATGATGTGTCAGGCCGACGATATTTCACCTGATCTGATAAGTCAAATAGAGCCAAGGGATGGCAACGGACTGTCGTCGGATTTGATGTTGAATTTTTCGTGTAAAATTTCCTGGCTCGACCAATGCCTGCCTGACGATGTATTCTATTTGGAGACGGTGTCTCCATTTTGGAGCTCACGATAATGACCCATGCCACGTGGTAGTGATCAAAGTCACCAACAAACAGGCAGAAGTGAGGCTTCGACGTAAGTTTTCCAAGCCGCCAAGACCAGCGGTCGACAGCACTGTGCGTGGTTAGCGTAGAGCATGTGTGCACTGTATTTACGATGGTCAACGAGCGTGGGGCATTGTAAGAGATCCTTGTGAATGAGGGGCGATGGTGGGGTAATGCGCATGTCGCGAGCTGCCCTGCAAAACAAGAGACTGACGGTGAGGACAAAGCCCAAGAGCGCCGAGACAGGGGCGAGTAGCTAATGGGTTGGTGCGGTTGACGTAAAGGTCAGCTAATATTATGACGCTGGGAAGACGCTGAGGACTCGTGCACTGTGTGCGGATGGCTTGATCATCAATCACTGGCTGGCTGGGGAGGTGTTTTGGAAACAAGCAGGAAATTCGCGAGTCGTCGAGAAAGTTCTTTCCTGTTCGATGACAGGATGGACAAGTCTGTCGTTGGCGGGGCAGGTTCCAAGGGGGTACGCGATGGGTACTTGCGGGCGGCAGCAGGACGGGGCTGCGAGGGGCAGTTCATCCACTGAGATGACGCCGTCGGACCCCCTGATGTGGCCGCCTCGCGCCTGTCACCGCCTCGGGCGCGAAGTACTGACCAAGTAGCCACTAGGACAGACCAGCAGCAACCCCTCCATCGGGAGGGGGGTGGGAGAAAGAGGGATTGCGCTGCTTGCCTCACAAACGTCTGGGTGGTGCTGGCTTTTTTTTTTCCGCCCACACCATTATCAAACGTCGTCAAATCAGGCACCTTAGCCTCGTAGCGCACGCCCGGCCCTGCCTCTCTCTCTCTCTCTCTCCCTCTCTGGTCTCTCTGCCTGGCTGCTGAACTTTTTTCTTCACCTGTTGCCGCTGCAACCTTTATCTAATCGGCCACTCCAACGACTTTCCCTCACCACACCAAAGACCACAGACCACACACCGCGCATCCATACCCAACCTGCGAACAACACCTCACCCCCGCCCATCCTATTCCCACCACAACATCGTCTCGTCTTTTGGCTGCTACTGAAGCCAGAGAGAGTATCGTCACCTCGTTCCATCCCACTTCACATACGCAGAACCCGACTGCTACCGCCACCATGAGTGTCGTTGGTAGGTTGTTCCCTATTCCTGCTGCTTCCACTCCCCCCCCCCGGTTTGCGCGCAAGCCGTAAGGCTCTGGTGTCCCGAAACCCGAGTCTTTGCTCACATGCTTCCCTTGACCAAACGGCAACTGCTTTGAAACTGATCACTGACGATCCATCCCTCCTCATCAGGTGTCGATTTCGGAACCCTCAAGACGGTCATTGCTGTCGCCCGCAATCGTGGCGTTGACGTTGTGAGTAGCCCCTCCCTGCTTCTCCGGCCGGTCCCCTCCCATCTCGAACCCACATCTTGCGACCAAGATGGCTGACATGCTGCCTCCTACCTATACAGATTTGCAATGAGGTCTCCAACCGTGCCACCCCTTCCCTTGTCGGCTTCGGCCCCAAGTCGCGATACCTCGGCGAGACTGCCAAGACGCAAGAAATGTCCCAACCTCAAAGAACACTGTCGGCTCCCTGAAGCGCCTCGCCCGGCCGCAAGCTTCAACGACCCCGATACCCAGATCGAGCAGACGCACATCACCGCTCCCCTCGTCGACATGAACGGCCAGGTCGGCGCCGAGGTCAACTATCTTGGAAAGAAGGAGAAGTTCACCAACACCCAGCTCATCGGCATGTACCTGAGCAAGATCAAGCAGACCACCGCTGCCGAGATCAAGCTGCCCGTCTCTGACCTTGTCATGAGTGTGCCCGCCTGGTTCACCGACATCCAGCGTCGCGCTCTGATCGACGCTGCCGAGATTGCCGGCCTCAAGCTTCTCCGCCTCATGAACGACACAACCGCTGCCGCTCTCGGCTGGGGTATCACCAAGCTCGACCTCCCTGCGCCCGAGGAGGCCCCCCGCCGCGTCGCCTTCATTGACATTGGCCACAGCAACTACACCTGCTCCATCATCGAGTTCAAGAAGGGTGAGCTCGCCGTCAAGGCGACCACCTACGACCGCCACTTTGGCGGCCGCGACTTCGACAAGGCCATTGTCGACCACCTGCAGAAGGAGTTCAAGGGCAAGTACGGCTGCGACATCAACACCCACCCCAGGGCCTACGCTCGTACCGTTGCCGCTGCCGAGAAGTGCAAGAAGATTCTGTCGGCGAACCAGCAGTCCCCTGTCAACGTCGAGTCCCTCATGAACGACATTGACGTTTCCGCCATGATCACGCGCCAGGAGTTCGAGGCCATGGTTGAGCCTCTCCTGGCCCGCGTCCACGTTCCCCTTGAGCAGGCCCTCGCCGACGCCAAGCTGACCAAGGATGACATTGACGTGATTGAGATCCTCGGCGGCGGTTCCCGTGTGCCCGCCCTCAAGGAGAGGATCCAGGAGTTCTTCGGCAAGCCCCTGTCCTTCACCCTCAACCAGGACGAGGCCGTCGCCCGTGGTTGCGCTTTCAGCTGCGCCATTCTGTCCCCCGTCTTCCGTGTCCGTGACTTCACCGTCCAGGACATCATGAGCTACCCCGTCGAGTTTGCCTGGGAGAAGGCTGCCGACATTTTTTGATGAGGAGACGAGCCTGACAGTCTTTAACAGGGGCG